CGCACCTCCTCACCAACCCGACGCAGTACGCGCCCCTCCCGTCAAAGGACGCCGTCGCGCAGCAGGTCGTCGTCCAGGACGCGACGTGGTACCTAGGCAACACGCCCCAAGACCCCTACGTCCAGGAGGAAGCCGACTGGTTCACGAAATACACCTTTCAAGACACCTGGCGCGACGTCGACGCCTACGGCATGTTCGCCGACGGCTCCAAGACGGCCGACGGCTCCGCGTTCGGCGCCTGGATGGTCTTCAACACCCGCGACACTTACTTCGGCGGCCCCCTGCACTCGGACCTGACGGTCGACGGCATCGTCTACAACTACATCTCGTCCAACCACCACGGCGACCAGACGCCCAACATCACAAACGGCTTCGACCGCACCTTTGGCCCGCAGTACTACCACTTCAACAAGGGCCCCGCGGGCACCTCCATCCTCGACCTCCACGCCGACGCCGCCAAGCTCGCCGACCCGACGTGGAACGCGGACTTTTACGACGACATTGCCCACCTCGTACCCAACTACGTCCCCTCCACGCAGCGCACCACCTGGAAGCTGCACGTCGATCTCCCCGAGGGCGTGACGAAACCCATCGCCGTGCTGGCGCAGAACGGCGTCGACTTCCAGGACAACGTCTTCGACACAAAAGCCTACCAATACTGGACCGACATCGACGCCCAAGGCTACGCCACGATCCCGCGCGTAAAAGAGGGGACCTACCGCCTCACAATCTACGGCGACGGCATCTTTGGCCAATACACCAAGGACGACGTGAAAATCGTCGCCGGCAAAATCGACACCACCCACGCGCGCTGGCGCGAGGAGACATCCGGCACGGAAATCTTCCGCATCGGCACGCCAGACAAGTCCTCGGGCGAATACCGCCACGGCTTCGCGCGCGACACCACCAAGCCCCGCACGCCGGAGGAATACCGCATCTACTGGGCGCGCTACGACTTCCCCACCGAGTTCCCGGACGGCGTCCGCTTCCGCGTCGGCGAGGACGACGTCGCGCGGGACCTCAACTACGTGCACTGGGCGGCGTTCGGCGGCAAAGGGAACTCCCTCCGCCCGGACCTCTACCTCGGCGACGGCAACGTCAACAACTGGACCCTCGTCTTCGACCTCGACGAGGCGGCCGTGGAGCAGAAGCGCTACGGCACCTTCACGGTGCAGCTCGCGGGCGCCAAGACGGCGGCGGGCAACACGGACGTGTACAACGCGAGCGAGCCGCACGCCAACCTGAAGTACACCGTCAACGTCAACGGGAAAGACCTGGAGCCGTGGGTGATTCCGTACTACCAGAGCAGCTCGTGCGCGGTGCGGTCGGCGGTGGTGTGTTACAACGTCGCCAACAAGTTTGTCTTTGACTCGAAGCTGTTGAGGGCGGGCGAGAACGAGATTGTCCTGAGCTTGCCGTACGGCGCGACGAATTACGAGAGCGCCGTGCTTACGCCTGCTATTTACGTCCAATATGATGCGCTGCGATTGGAGATCAAGTAAATCCCATCGCTTGAGGTTTGAATACGGGACGGGCATTTCAGTAGATGCAATAAGCGAGGCGAGATCAACGATATCAATAAAGTTTAACATTTAATCATGAGACAACCGTCTCTCTCTTTTTTGGGTATTCCCCCCCCCCCCCTCATCCATTCCTTTCCTGTCCGGTTTTGGAGGACGAAAAGTATAAAATGGAAGCTTTGACTCTGTGCCGAAGAGCCGGGTCCCGACCAGACCAGTTAAGAATCATTGAACGAACGCAAGCAAGAGCAAGAGTTCAAAAAAAAAGAGGCTGAGTCTGATTCGGAGAAGGGACGACAAAGAATGGAACGCAGGTTTGGCGTTTGGCCCCGCCGCGCGGTCGGATGTAAAACGGTTCGTTTCAAGACACTGTTGACTGTCAAGAAAAAGGTGGGAGCGTCGTGTTTTGCGATAAGGCCCGGACCGCAAGCAGCCACGAGTACGCGTAAGAACCCCCCAAGGTGAGTAGAAACTAGAGATTGTGAAAATGGTGGTGGTGGTTTACTTTCCCAGGCCCAGGAGTAGGAGGCAGGGGCGTGTTTGGGCCTGCGATTTGGTTCATACCGTGGGCGTCGCATAGAAGTGGAAATTTTGTACGAAGAGATGGGGTTTTGTCGATTGACGTACGGAGCACGGGGTACTCTCGCGTGCTATGTGCGACCCAAAAATCAGGATTAAAGCTGTTGAACCTTGCTCAATGATACTTCTCTCTACTTTTTTGACACTGGCTGTTCAGTGTATCTTTGAAATGAGTGTGGTTAAAATACCTTATGCCAAGTGGTGATGCATGTTCACGAATGAGGAGATCAATGTTTACCCAATGTAAAAGGAGGAGGACAAAGTCTCGAACCAAGCCAAGTAGTCGGGTTCGTGCTCCAAGGGCGGGTTGGAACTTGCGGCGTTTCTTGAATCGCGGGAGAGCTACGTTAGACCGGCCTCAGAGGGTTGCGCTCGTGTTCAAGTCGCACCAATATCTGGGCATGGTAATTAGTTTCTCGGCCGGATGAGCTTCCGTAGAGGGACTGGGAAACGTCGCATTCCGATAACCGACTCGTAGTCCGTGAAAGGGATGATACTCCGAGAAATGCAGAAACCTGCGGAACCAAAGAGTTTCGTCAAACGCCGCCTTTTCCGAATCTTTTCCAATAGCTGAATCTGATGCTCTGAACAGCGTACTGCGTGAGGTAGCTGTTTGGTTTTTGTCTTGGCTGGGCGTAACCCGGCCACACAATTGCCAAAGTCCCCAGATAGCCGACACTAACACTGCCCACCCGGCCCCGCCCTCAAATCTGCATGTAAGTGCAGACGGCAGGCTGCGCCAGGCAAATCGTAGGATTTCGCGACGTAAGTGCCGCGGCCAAGGCTAATTGTATGCCGTGCAACGGCGAGCTGGTGCTCGGTATGCATCAAATTCAAGGTTGGGCGGCAGAAGAAGCGGGTGTACTAGGCCTTCGCCGGCAAAAGATCGCCGGGCTGGGAAGAAGCTGTAGTCTGTACGCCCAATATGACGGTCGGTAGGGCTGCCCATCTGCACGCAGCTATCTAGAAGGGACTTTGGAGCGATGCTGTGCCTATACCTGGTAGCTCTTAGGTTCTCCAGAATGAGTGAATGATCGTCGGGCTGCGCTGAGCAAGGCTGATGGGGCGTAATGTTGCATATGCTGTCTCTGACCAAAGATCATTCTTCTGATTATCGAATTCGTGCCCGCCAAATCCCTCACCCAAAGAACTTTGGGCAGATGACGAGAACAGTATCAACAACCGCGGTATCACCGTCTTGTCATCGCTGCCTACGGTGAGAACCTAAGTTAGGCAGCACTTTTTTGCTTGAAGGATGATAGTTGGTTGGCTTCAATCCATCCAACAGACGCACCTTTGGGCCGCAGACTCCGGGCCGCCTTGAATGTCGGTGTGACTTCTCATGTTCGAATGCCGAAACCAAAGTGATCGCCAGAACATTGAGCACGGTCACGGCTCCATTGAGGCTGATTCGTGATCTTTCCTCATCGTAGCATTGCTCTTGTTCTGCACAGGTCACTTGGCCGCCAGTACTGCGACCCTGCCACGTCGAGCATGCTGATTCAAAAGATGAGAGCTTTGTTGTCGCAAAGAGAAGAAAAGAGGTTGTTCTGATGCCAAAAACCATCATGACTGTTGTCATCCAAAGCTCCAGGTTCGACATCGGCTCCCACCTGCAGGTTGCGGGCCAGCTCGTGGTGCGAGGTGGTCCCCGGCAGTGGGAATGCGTAAAATGCCCCTCCATCCCCGCTGTCAGCTTGGGTCGTCAGCCACCCCCCGGGACCAGGGTGGCACTGATGGCTCTGGTGCCTTTGCTGGCATGTCTCTGGTGTTCTGCATGTCGAGGTAATCTTGTTGAGCTCCTCGAAACAAAGCGAGCCCTGGTTCCCCGTCTCGCCAGTCGACACTCAGGAGAAGGAAGGTACGGATACTTGGTAAAGAATTTTCCATGGCGCTCCACCGCATTGAAGATCAGCCTCTGCGCCGCTGCCGTGGGAAATAAGCTGTGAAGCGACGAATTGGAGACCTCGGCGTCAGGGCCTGGAGTTCTTGGATGGTTCTTGGTCAGTCTTGGATGACGAGCCGTACTCTGTGAACATGATTTTGCCAATATTTGACTGCACGCCGCAGTCATGCGCACGGGAAGACAAGGTTCGCGGACTTTTGTCAGTGGTCGGTCTAAATCGGACAGTCATCTGAGTCTGGAGCCCATTCATCGTCCACAAGCTTGATGATCCCTCCTGCTCGGCTACGTCAGCGGAGCAATAGCTCTGGGTGAACGATGTGGTGATGATGCATCCATGAGGCGAACGAATTGATCCCGAGGCTGCGATGCTGTGCAATGACTGAAAGGGTGACTCGGAGTGAGTGAACAGACATTACAATAAAGCGCAGATCTAGAATGCGAGTCTGGATCATGGGAATGAATCACAGCAGTCGGAGCTTGTTGGTGGGCAAGTGTAACGTGCGACTTCATCATGAGGGGTCTCTGTGGATGTTACCCTGACCATGCTGGAATAGATGCCTCTGATACTCGCGGATCAGCATCTTTTGGGATTTCGTACCTGTCCTAGGCGTTCCTAGCCAGATTGAGCTGCCCGTTGCATATCGGAGTACTACTCTATGAGGGTGGAGAGCAAAGTGTACCATTATTGTAGGGGAAAGACGCAAAAGAATGTGTACGGAAGAGAAGGAAAGAAAAGATACGTCCCCCTCTTACACCAGAAGCTTCAGGTATCTCTGGAGGACCAGACGAAGGAGGACTGGAGGAGGAAACTAAGGAAAGACCCGCACGTGGCGGTGCGCGATGTGCAGATTTTCCCAATTAGGGGCTGCAGTTGCCAGGGTATCCCCTCCTGCCCGGGGGCCAGTCCCAGATGTCCCAGCCAAGTGACCCAAGACTGAAGGGGGACATGGGGCTTGCAACACCCTTTAAGCCCCTGGTCATAGCACCCGTGGCTAATGGAAGGCCCGGATACCGATCTCTGGTTCCTGGGCGTTGGAACTTGGCGCCGCTGTGAGTGTGACAGTCTCACATTCTCACTGCTCACAGCTCAGGCGCTGGCTCGATGGGTTCGGGTTCAAGGTTCGTCACAAGTGCCTTATCGCCCGATAAGCGGTCCGGTGCAGTACGTACCTCAAGCCTGGATGGGACAAACCACCACCAGGGACCTCACAAAGTACCTTGTACCGCAGATCCAGTTGGTGCGGTCTCGCGCCGCCCGCCAACACAGCATAACGTACAATCTTGTCTGAAACACCATCTACCGCCAGTCACCTTTACACGTTCAGCTCTCAAGCTCCCCATCCCCAAAGACTCCAACGACTCCCAAGCGACCAAGACTCTCAAAGAGTCTCCGAGCTGGCGGTAGACCCTCGTCCCGTTCGAATCTCTCCCAATGAACGACAGCGCTTACCGACCCGCTCGCTCTCCAAGGAACCGCTGTTCAAACGCCCTTGTCTTGTCTTGCCCCTTTTGCTATCTGTACTCCGAGTTTGCTCTTTTGCCCTTTGCCTCTTGCTACTGAGTACGGCTACTTGGTACTTGCGACTCTTCGCGCTTTGCCTCTCTGGTCATCATCTCATCCCACGCTCCTTGGTTCTTCCTCCTTCTCTTCCCAGATACACCAACTGGCCACCACAGTCTGACCCCTGACTGTGATCTTCGTACTTCTTTGCCGGGTGGCCCCTGTCAGGGCGCAGCCGCGTGCGGTGTGCTGGCTCGACGAGAAGGCAGCTCCTGATCACAACATCAGATGAAGCCTTGTTTTGTTTTGTGCTTGTTTCCAGGCTGCGAGTAAAGACACACGCAAAAAGGATCATGGCGCTGTCATCGCAGGATCAGGACGTTGGCAAAAGCCGCGCCTGCGCCAGCTCCTGCTTACATGTATCCTTTCCTTCCTCTTCCTCGTCATCCCACCTCGACGCTGATCTTGACCTTGACGACATCTCCGCTTCTTCCAACCCATCATTTTCATGCTTCCAGTCCTGTTGCTGCCACTTCCGCCCCAGATTTCCACTTTCTCAGAGCCCTGCTACCAAGATTGCCGTCCAGGATCAGCATTACCGTCCCTCCTCATCGCCTTGTCCGTACCCGCCTTCTTCCCACCACTTCCATTACTGTTGTGCCGGTCCACCAGTTCGGAGGAAACCTGGACAAGGGGCACATGGACCGGAATCCTCGCCCGCTCCTGATATATTTAACATCCCGGCCCTCCTCTACCGGAAGTGGCCTCTCCTTGCCCTCGCCATTGCAACTAATACATATATCCTCCTCCACTACTCCTCTCACTTCTCTACCTCGAGCAGAGAAGAAGACCAGACGAACTGTTCCGCCTCCTTACTCAACTCCTTATACTTAATAATCGTCAACATGGTCGCCAACGTTGGAGGGCTCGCAGCCCGGGCAGTCTTTCTCATGTCCACTCGTCCTATTGCCCAGAGAGCAGACGTCGCCTCATACACCAATAACGCCGTTGCCGCCATTCGCACTCTCGAATCTACCTGGTACGATGTTGGCTCTGGTCTTTGGGACAACGCCTGGTGGAACAGTGCCAACGCCTTCACCACCCTCGCCGACTTCGCCAACCTGAACCGGGATGCTGCTAACGAGCTTAACATCGGAGGCATTCTCATGAACACATTCCAGCAGGCTCAGAAGGCCACAGCATCAGCTTCCAAGTCTATCAACGCCGCTGGCCTTGTCACAACCTCGTACGCCATCACCAAGCGCGAGGTACCGCTGCCTATCGAAGGTCGTCAAATGAGCGCTCAGGGCTTTCCCAACTTCATCAACGAGTTTTATGACGACGAAGGCTGGTGGGCGCTCGGCCTGATCCGCGCCTACGATGTTACCCAGAACCAAGACTACCTCGACATGGCCGTGCGCATCTTTGCCGATATGAAGACCGGCGGCAATACCAACTGCAATGGCGGCATCTACTGGAGCAAGGACCGCAAGTACGTCAACGCCATCGCCAACGAGCTCTACCTCAGCGTCGCCGCCTCGCTGGCCAACCGCATCTCGGGCGATAAGGCCAGCTACCTCAAGATCGCGACTGATCAGTGGACCTGGTTCAAGGCCACCGGCATGATCAACGCTCAGGGCACCATCAACGACGGCTTGGACGGCAACTGCAAGAACAACGGCGCCAACGTGTGGTCTTACAACCAAGGTGTCGTTCTCGGCGGTCTCGTCGAGCTCAGCAAGGCTAATGGCGACAAGTCGGTCCTGACAGACGCCACCAACATTGCCAAGGCGGCCATCAAGCAGCTGGCCGACGACAACGGCATCCTGCACGACACGTGCGAGCCCAACTGCGGCTCCGACGGCAACCAGTTCAAGGGCATCTTTGTTCGCAACCTGCGATACCTGCAAGAAGCGGCGCCCAACAACGACTTCAAGACCTTCATCACCAAAAACGCCGACAGCAACTGGAACGCCAACCGCGACTCTGCTGGCAAGATGGGTGTCGTCTGGTCGGGCCCCGCGCAAGGCGTTTCCGGGCCGACTCACAGCTCAGCACTCGACTCCATTGTTGCCGCCGTTGCCGTCGCGTGAGCGAGACTTCTTTTGAGAAATTAATTGTCCTCAGACCTTTTGGATCAACATCATCATCATCATCGGGCAGGCGTTGGAAATTTTGCTTTACTTCACATGGCCGCTCTGCAACACGCTCCTTCTTTCTAATTGGGCGCAGGGGAAAACGGCAACGAACGGATTAGACTTGATCAGGAACGGGATACCCCTCAGAACACACGGACACTCCTTTGATGCCCCGAGCTGAGCAAGACAAGACCAGCTCGGGCGGCGCACCGGAGGGTTTTGCTTATTGTTAATAATGACTCTAATGAGTAATGATACCATAGTTTCATTTTGGATAGTCGTTTGGTTAGGCTTGCACGGGAGCAAGCGAAGATACTGAGGCACAGACGTGTTGGATAATACTACATGGTCTTCCACCGTATACATACACTATTTGATGATCACCAGTTCTGCGAGACTCATGATTTCACTAAAACTGATGGTCGCCCTCCATGGATCCACAGGAGAACTCCCTCGAGCTAGATCGCCATCGATTAAAGGAGAGATTCTAGAAGGACTGAGCGCTAAGGGGTGTCTCCACGGTGGTATCGGCGCGGGAGTTTAGATTGAGGGTTGATGCAAAAACTCTCGAGAGTCAAAAAGGAGATCTCCCGGAACGATCATCCGTTGGTTCGTTGGCTCGTTCGCTCGGGAGCTGTGAGCCGGTTGTGTAGGTAGTAATAGTACTCCATATGCGAAAGAAAGTTATTTATGGCGCATTGCTGATCGCTTCCGCTTTAAATTGCCCGCGGGAGATCGTTCGGGGGGGGGGGGGGGGAGATGGGTTGGTTGGTTTTTGGTGGTTTGTTATGCGGGGGAAATTGAAATTGGAGACCATCATGGGTTGTTTCCTCCCCTTGTTCCTGTCAGGCAAAGCCTTTTTTTCTTCTTTTGGTATTAGGGACGAGATCCTGGCTTGACACAGGAAGAATGAGCGGCCTCCATGTTAGGATGGTTTGTAAGGTATCCATGCTCGTGTGCCGTTTCTTCTTCGCTTGATGGCTTGTCAGTTCATCCTTTTCCCTTTGGCATCTGCTGCCGTCCTACCTTTTTAAGGAACTTGCCTGAAGGAAGGTATTGAAGCTCAGACTACTCCGTACCCGTACCTTACTCAGTACAGTCGATCAATGCCAATTGATCATGCTTATAAGAATATTTGATCCCATCATGCCGAGGAGCAGTATTATGTATTAAAACACTATATATCAAGGTGGGGTGAAGTCTTGGCTTCCCAAGTTCCTGTGGGGCTCTGACTTCAGATATCCCTGTAGAGGCAGTCAATGATCCGCGCATCCTCCCATCTCCAACAACACATGGCACCAGCCAGCCTGCAAAGCCAGAACTCTGTCCGACGCTGACACTCAAGCCACAGCTTCAGAATGATACACAACGCGCGTATGCTCAGCCAAAGGGAAAAGATAAGAGAAGTCCCCACTCGTTGACATTTTTTGACAAAGCTTTTAGAGCTTGCGACATCTTATCCTGCACCCTCCCCCCCGCCCCATCCGGTCCGTTCCGGTTGGAAGACGGAGCTGAAGCTCCCGTCACTCGCACAACATGCCAATAATTCGACACAGTGAGACATCACTCTGGCGCGTATTTTACCTAAGGCAAGGTACGACGAGGCGAGGGGGTTAAGGTAGGTAAAGTCATGTGCGTTCGCGCCAATAGCTGCAGTAGTCCATGACGTAAGGTATACTTCTATCAACCCAAGTGGGCGGTGCGTCGGAGCCTTCGGGGAGAAGGTCATTATGATACCTATGCCGGCGTACGCGTGTAGGTAGGTATTTTTGTGCGAGAGAAACTTCGTACCTGCCACACTTTTTTTTCCAATCCCGCATTCCTCAGCCCGCCGTGTATCCTGGGACGAAGATTGGGACACGCAGCGCGAAAAGGTAGTTTCATCCCTTCCTAACCCATCTTCACCTGTTCAACCGAACTGGCTTCCCCATCCCAATTGGATGTCGTTGCTTGCTGCTCTTCCAAACCTGCGACGGCGTCACGCAGCGAACTCGCCGTCTCATCTTCGGCCCCAGCAACCTACCTACTTACACTCTCCCGTCTCCTCCTAATCCAATCACCATCTAGTGGAGCAATACTTCATTCAAAGGGACAACCGGGGCACCACCGCGACCATGAAAGCCGCCTCAGCCGACCCCTTTGGCCAGATCCTCAAGGATCTAGTCCTCATCGTCATCAGCGTCGCTTTCATCCCCTTGACGACGATCATCCTCGCCTTGACTTATGTGTGGCAGCGCTTCCTACGTCCCGGCCAGGCCTTTGACCCCGCCGCCGCCACGGACCGCCAGCAGCAGCAGCGCCGCACCATCCTCGTCACCGGCGTCGGCATGACAAAGGGCCTAACCCTCGCCCGACTGTTCCACCAAGCCGGTCACCGCGTCGTGGGCGCCGACTTCTCTCCCCACGCCTGCGGCAGCCGGTCCACCGCCCTCGCCGCCTACCACGTCCTACAGAAACCCGGCCGAGCTGGAGGCGGCGCCGACCCGTACCTCGACTCGGTGCTGAGGATTGTGGAGCGAGAGAAGGTCGACCTCTGGGTCAGCTGCTCGGGCGTCGGGTCCGCCGTCGAGGACGGCGTCGTCAAGGAGGTCGTCGAGGCCCGCACGCGGTGCCGCGCCGTGCAACCCGACGTCGCGCGCACCCGGATCCTGCACGAGAAGGATTCCTTCATGGACCACACGCGGGAGACGGGCCTGCGCGTGCCAGAGTCATATCTCGTCACGAGCCGACATGAGATGCTGGCCGCGCTGGAAGAAGCGTCGGGGGGACTGTCCTACGACGCCGAGTCCGAGACCACCGCCAAGAACACCAGGAAGCCGCCGCCGCGCTTCATCGCAAAGTCGGTGGGCGTCAACGACCGCGGCCGCGGCGACATGACGCTGCTGCCGCTGCCGACGGAGAAGCAGACGTACGATCACGTCTACCACCTCGAGTGGCTGGGCATGTCAGACAAGGAGCCCTGGCTGTTGCAGGAGTACATTGACGGCGACGAGTTCTGCACGCACGCGCTCGTGGTCCGCGGGGAGGTGAGAGCGTTTGTGGCGTGCCGC